CTCAACCATATTGCATCAGTAACGTGCACTTGTTATTATAACAAGATCGCAAGGACACTGCAAAGACGATGATCGGAAAATTGAGTGTTGTTCAGTTTGTGTGTTGTGGAACATGCGTGTCCGTGCATGAAAATATACCACACACCCAATTACAATTGCATGTTCAATTCACTACCCTGGAAGTTAATACAGTTGTTAAAGTTGGAACAGCCTGTGAACAGCCGTTCTTCCTTGCATGTCAGTCGCCGACACCTTCTTACAGAGGACAGGCACATCTAGCTGCAGCACGACCCGTATATTTCCGCACGCCGTGTTCTCAAGACAATTTTTTTTTTAAATGTTCAACATGGTGGATAAATCCTTATATGCTCCCGGCGACACACTGAACGTCAACTTTGCCTCCTTATTACACTCACCCCTACTTTAGTGGAAACAATGAGTCTGCGTCTTTGATGCACAAAGGAATAAACGCAGATCATACTCTGGCTGCAGCCTTTACCGGTACTTGCTTTTGATCAAAGTCAATGCGGAAAACCTGCACTCACACAGGTAGGTGGAGGTGAAGGGAATGAGCACTTTTACAGCCTTTTTGGCGAGGTGGGGGAACTAGGTCTCCACAGACAGCCACAAGTGGGCGAGTGTCACTTTACTCGTCTTTTTCTCGTTCTTTTGTGTCTCACGCTGCGCCTCCCCTGAAGCTCTCTGGCGCCCCCCAGGGGAGGCGCGCCTCACACTTTGAAAACCGCTGGTCTAATGAGTTGGGTGAAAAAAAAGACAGGAGATGTGAGTTGGTTTATTCAGTAAATTAGATCAGGATAATTGGATGTTCTGTCTACACCTGTTGATGTGAGGCTAATGCAGGATTTGCTAGCTGGATGCTACCGGCATTTAGCGGCAGTTACTCAACAAATTGCCTCTTAAAATGTATCGACAGCAATGTATGACAAGCAGACTGCTTGTTTAATGTTAGACTCACACCAATAGCTCAATATGGGGGGGTACCCGAGCAGCACCCTGCCAAGGCAGTAAACCTAGGGGAAACACTGAAATGCATACATAACCTAACCATACCAAGAAACAATACAGAACATTATAATAAAATAGAACAAATTGAAACTAAATATTAAGGCGAAAGGCATTTCAAATCCTTTAAACACAGTTTAAAGACTAAAAGTGAAACATGTTGGCTTGGAAACTAGGAAAAGAACAAAATAGGAAATGCATGCATTTGAATAAATATTTTTATTAGATTTTGAAGACATTAGATACAAAGAAAACAATAAGGTTAATTATTAGCAGATCAATAATAACAAAGAGTAACAATAATTGTATTATTTTCAAAAAATGTCATTGTCAGCAAAATCATAATGCAATTTATAGTTTGTTTTCATTTTGCGGAGGGAGAGGAAAGTGTGTCATGTTCACCTCAAAGCCAGCGGGGGCTTGTCCCTCCTGTCCGGGGAAAGAGGCGGTCGTCCCCAGGAAGCCGAACATTTTGTCCACCATGTCGGAGTCGTTGACGGGCTCCAGACGGGCCTTCTCCATCTGCTCAACCATCTCTTTCTTCCTGCGAGCCTCCTCCTTCTCCTTCTTCTCCCGCTCTGCGTCCTCTGTGGCCAGCTGGGCCAGGCGCTCCTGGTGAAGTCATAAGACCGATGATAGAAGATAAGAAGAAGCAGGAATCACCAGCACATCAATTCAAATAGCCCTGTATGATCCCATTGTTTGGTAACCTGGTTTCTAAGACCTGTAGAATCTTCTACAAAGAAACATATCCTGCACTACCAAACAAAAGGCATTACAGCTTGTTCTCAGACGATAAATAAACAGGAGTTTTGTTTAAACAAGAGCGATCTGGGTTGAACTCCCACCTGGTGTTTGCGCTCAGCTTCAGCCTTCGCTCTCTTCGCAGACATCTGGTTCCTCAGTTTGGTCTCTTCCGCCAGACGCATCTTCTCTGCCTCCAGACGCCTGCGGTACTGAAGGGCGAAGGGACAAAACACTGTTTGAAAGAACGACTAGTCAACCACCAACACCGACTCAAGCTGCTTGTTCTGTTGACATCTCAGTCCAACATTAGAATGAAACAAGAAGCGAATCCAGCCAAGAGTGTTGGGGGGGGGGGGGAGGGGCAGGTTCAAATGGAGTGATGATGAGAACAATAGCTTCAGGGAAAGAATGAAGTAATCACTTGAACACAAAAACAAAAGAAAACCCCTGATTAGAGAAAAATATAAGAAAACGGTACAAATGAGTTAACAAATGCCTTGAAGAATTGCACAAATTAGTAATAAAGGACTGATTTATAATCTCACTAAAGATTCACATAACTCTTAGCTACTGTCAGACTATAAACAACAAGATCAAATGTTCAGGATTCAGTCATGGGCATGTTCTCAAACTGACTGTGAGTTGGTTCATCCAGCAGACTGCTAGCTTCTGTGTGGAGCAGGCAGGTATTTCAAAAACACTGCACCACTTTAAAATGGTTCATTAGTGCAGTATACTTGGGTAAATGTACTTATTTCCAATCCTATGTGCATGTGTGTGTGCTCACCTCTCCCTTCAGCCTCCTGTAGAGCCGGCGTGCGATCATACCTCTGGTGTGGGCCTGGATGGTGATGACGGCCCACAGCCGGTGCCTGAACGCGCGGCGCACCAAATAGCCACGACAGCGCCCCTGGAAGCCTGTGATTCGCTGGCGGGCCACGTGATACGACGCACACAACTTCCTGGAACGAACCAGAGCCTGGAGGCGGGAGAAGCCTGCTCGCATCTGCAGAGACAGAGACAAGAGAAGAAGAAAGATAGATTTTCCCTTTAATGCATCCTTTTAATGCATCACAATCATCATGATGTGATGACAAGCACGACGTTGACCTGAATGCTCAACTTCTGTTTACACTTTTGTAATATGTGATTGGTTGTGTGTGTGTGCAATAACAGAGAGGCTCTCACAGCTCCATAGTTCTTCCTGCACTGATACCCTCTCCATGTCTTCTGGATCAACACAGCTGACTTCCTCATCTTCAGGAAGTTAGATCTGATGAAAGGAAGTTACAGATCGGAAATGACTTTTGTTTGAATCTTGAGATGTCAACAGTTTATCACCAACTACGAATCAAAAGCTGATCAGTGGTTTTGGAGAGTGACACATCTGGATGGGTCAATTTCCAGTTTCATGGAAGGACTGGTTCTGAAAACCTACCTGTCCTTGAATCCTCTAACCACCTTCTGGATGAGGATGACCTTGTCTGTGATGGCTTTGTCTCTCTCGATCTCCAGCAGCATGTCGTGGTGATCCTACACAAAGAGAGAGAGCTAATAAAGAGAAACAACAACAAAACGCACCCTCTGCTGCTTTGGGTCCTTAAGTTGAGGCTGTCACAAACACAACATTTTTTTTTTAGTTGTTTCTGGATGTACTTATTGTACAGATAACTGTACAGGGATGATCATCCATTATCAAAAACTATTTATTTGTTTAATTCAGCGCCATGGGGGTTTACCCTCTGGAAACGATTAAAGTATTGAAGATACGAGCTGTCACACGTTTGTATGGACTCATTATTTTAAACACACAAAACTGTTAACAGTATTTTTGATTTGTCAGCAACACTCAAATATTCCAAATTTAATTTAATGTGCAACTTTGTGCAAACGTTTAGAGAATAACAAAGAAATTATAATTTGAGTTAAATACTGGGTGTAACTCAAAACTCAATGTAGGCTGCAGGGGTGGGCAAACTTTTTGTGGCTCTGGGGCCACTATGAGTTTTAAAATTTGACAGACGGGCCAGGCCAGTAGCAGATGGTGGGAAAGTTGCGGCTGATATTGTATTCTTTGAAAACAGTAACGGTTTCTTGGCAAATAGGACATACAGCCTTATATCGTACTTCGGTCGGAAAATATTTAGCTGTCCACTCCTCATTAACATTGTCGACTTTTCTTTTCTTTGGTCCACTCATTGTTACAGATGCAGGTTCAAAGATGAATTAGGTTCAAAGGTGAATTATTGCGTCATCGTTTGCGTCATGACGTAACCGTTTACGTGCTTATGACCCACACGGCATTTTACGTCGCTGATTTTCTCCGCAACACCGCTCACAACAACATCAATAGAGGACTGCGTCGGGTAGTTTTTAATCATACAAAACCAGATTAAATTAAAGAACTACTTCTCCAACCTTATACCTTTCTCCAGAGTGCCGTGGTGCATTGTTTATTAATGTGGTTCAGCTGCATTACCGCCTGCTGCAGCGCTGCTCTTCCACCAGAGTTTAGTCTACTGTTAACTCACGGCAGCGGCCGCTGGAAAGTCTTCACTGTCCGACTGTCACAAGCAGCTGATAAATATCCCCCATCCCCATTAGTGAATTTGTTTTAGTCTGAAAGCTGTTTGGCATCACAACGCTGTTATGAAAGTTTCTCTGGCTAATCAGACTATCTTGACGTTAGCATAGCAAGCTAATCAGACTATCTTGACTACTTGTTGCTATCATATTGCGGAATTAGCCGTTTTCACACATATTTTACCGGCGTAGTTCTCGTTATGATTTTATTTGTGATGGCCACATGCAGCCCATGTATTGATTGCATCCGATAGTTGCAATAATACAAAAAAAAAGGAAAACGTCTGCCTCTTCACAATGGTCAATCACAGTGAACGGATGGTTATTAAAGTAAGGTAAAATAAACAGAA